CGGGCGCTTTCCCCGCCCCCTCGCCCCCCCGTGCCTGCCCGCACCAGTGGCTCTGGCGTGATACATTCGCGTGTGATGGGGTCTTTGCACTGTGGAGGTGAATACTGACAGAGGAGCAGCCTGGGGGGAAGTGCCAGGGACAGTGTCCGTCCACCCCTCCATCCCGGGGACGGGGCAAGCGTATTTTTTTGGTTACACTGCGACAGTCCAGACTCCTCCAAACCTCAGCATTGGGGTTCACACGGCCTCTGCTCCCATCATGGGAGCCCCCCGCCACAGAGGGGCTTTGCGCCCCCTGGGTCATGGTGAGAGAAGGGGGTAAGGGGAGTCCCCAAGCTGCACAGGAGGGGATGCGACCCCCCCTGCAGCCTCACACCTTGAGCGTTTTGTCGGCCGTGCCGCTGGGGCTGCCGGCGGGGGTGCCGGCCGCGGGCGGTGCTGCCGTCGCTGCCCTTCTTCTTGCGCAGGGTCTCGATCCAGCCGGCGCTGGGGCGGGCGGTAAAGCTGGAGAGCGCCAGGGAGCTGAGCCGCATGTTCTTGCCTGACATGATGAGCTCCCCGAAACCCTCCTGGTGGGAGAAGGCGTAGCCAGAGCGGCGCGAGCCCACGCGCCCCACGCGCCGCATGCACCGGTGCTGGGTCTTCTGCTTCTTCCGTACCAGCTGAGTGTAGCGGACCTGGGGAAACGGGATGGGGTCAGGGACCCACAGAACCACCTACCCCAGGAGACAGGACCCCCTGTCCGACATCCATGGCCACATGCTCTCACCGTGTCCGAGAGTTCAGGTTTCAGGTCCAGCTTGAGGAAGCGAAAGGCCACGACGGGCATGATACAGACCACGGTGGTGAGGGCGATGGTCAGCCAGACCGTGGGCTGGGCCAGCGTGTTCTGCGCATTACCTGAGGAGGGGTAAAAGTGCGAGTCCAGCCGGGGCTCAGCTGGGGCAGCACCCTGCTGCAGTGGGGGGCATCGCTCAGCCCCCCTGGGACTCACCCACAAAGCGGAACTGGTTGGGGAACATCTGGAAGAGGCCGTCGCTGTGCATGGCAAAGAGGATGGCGAAATAGGCGGCCAGGCTGCCCCAGATGAAGAAGTGGTTGATGGCCGTCCAGAAGCCCGTGTCCAGCCCGATCTGGTGGAGAGGGGAAGGAGGACGCAGGGCTCAGGGGACGGCTGCAGTGCTCCAAGCATGGCCACAGCCGTGGTCCCACAGGATGGGACCCAAACCTTCGCCTGTCCTTTGTGTTACAGGCAAGGGGCTAGGGCCAAGCAGCCGCGTCCCTACCTGCACGCTGACGACAATCACCAGGGAAGTGGCGACAGTGACGGCAAAGGACTGGTAGTCAGCCAGCTGGGCACCATCGTCACGGGTGGCATCAGCGAAGACACCGTAGGGGATGAAGAACATGAGGACAGAGGTGTAGATGCCCTGGGCGATGCAGATGAAGAACTCTCGCTTGTTGAAGAGCAGGTTCAGCTGCCCGGGCTCATAGAGCTTGGGGTACTCCATGCTCCGCTGCTCTGGCACGTCCTGGGGGCACAGGGCACTCTGGGCACCTCCCTCCAGCCCCGGGCAGGCACAGCCTGTTCGCCAGGGCTGGGCCAGCCTCCACCACCGCCCGCCAAGCGCCA